CTTTTTTTTTTTTTTTTTGAGGCAGGGTTTTGCTATGTACTTCAGGCTGATCTCAAACTATGTAACCCAGGCTGGCCTCAAACTCCTGCCTCAACCATTAGTGCTTGGATTATAGGTGTGTGCCACCATGCCCAGCTAAATTTTGGTATCTGAAGCCAACAAAGTAGCACCATTTTTCTGATGTATCTAGGTGAGTGGGGAGGTGGACTATGGGGTACGCTGAGAAGATATTTGAAATTCCTTGAAAGGAAACCTGAGTTGAATCTGAAAAATGACTACTATCTGGCCAGGCAAGTAGGGAAAAGAGGTATTCCCATTAAAGGGATAATGTATATAAAGAGACATACAGGAAAGATGTGGTACAAGTGGGATACAGCAGGAGGTTCAGTAAAGCCAAAGCAGGTAGGAAAGTGGTAGGAAGCTGAAGACAGCCAGTAATAACTGTCCAGATTATGACAAGCTCTGCATGTTCTACTTGGGGATTTGAATTTTTTTTTTAATGGTCCATATTATATACCTGTTCTTTTAAAAGGAGAGCTATTGAATAAATTCTCTTAATAAATACAGGTTTAATAGTCTACAGCCAGGTGTGGTGGTATATATCTCATCTTAAGCCCCGAAAAACCATTACAATGTTTTAATGCAGGATGTAACATTTTAGTTTAAATTGACTTGGTGAAGTAAACCAGCTACATTTTGGCTACATAGTTAGAAGATCAAAGGGAAAAACAAAACTAGATTATAGACTTAGATGAGATTGCCCAAGTAGAATTTTATTTATTTATTTATTTATTTTTGGTACTGGGGATTGAACTCGGGTCCTTGCCCTTGCAAGGCAGGCCACCGAACCGCTGAGCTAAATCCCCGGCCCTAGAATTTTAAATAGAATAAGAAGAAATGAGAATAAAGAACTTTGAGAAAGGAAAAGAGAAAAAATAGATCAGGATATGATATGTTTATGCACCAACTCTCCACAATTAATGTATTTATTATGTATTGCAAACATATATTAATTTTTAAAAACAAACAATAAAGGAACTGTGGAAGTTAAAGTTAAGGAGCACATAAAAGAGAAGCAAGTACAAGTATTTCAAGAAAGACGATTAGACTGGTAAGTGGAGAGCCAGGAACTGTAGATTCAGAAGACAAGGGGTAGTCAACAATATCAAGTGGCTAGTCCTTATTACTGGAATATTCTTCTTTTTTACTGAGACAGGGTCTCACTCTGTAGTTCAGAGTGGCCCAGAACTCACTATATAGCCCAGGCTGGCCTCGAAATTGTAGCAATCCTCCTGCCTTAGCCTCCTGAGTGCTGGGATTACAGGTATATGCCACTACCCCCAGCATACTGGAATATTCTTCATCCCACTTATTTTCAAAATCTAAATCCTACCCATTCTTCAAGGTTTAGTTCAGATGCCATCCTTTCCATGAAACAGCCTAATTCCCTTATTTACATAAATGGTATAAACTCCCTTCTCTAAACGCCAATATTTGTTCTATACCTATTTTAAAATATTTACACCTTTAGACTTTAAACAAATGCATAGAAGTATGTAAAATAAAACTTACATTTGACTTCAGGCCCTCTCCCCACTGTCTTTAAGGAAAATGACTATGGTTTAAACATTTGTCAAAAAGCAAAAATTTGACACTATATTATCTACATTTTGTTGTGCTTATTATATTTAAATCAGCCATAAAATATCACTTTCCTGGGCCAGGGATTTAGCTCAGTGGTTATGCCTCATGCCTTGCAAGCACAAGGACCTGAGTTTGATCCCTGGTACCAAAAAAAAAAAAAAAGAAAGAAATATCATCTTCCTATTCTATTAATAGGAAATCAAGGAACAAAGTAGTGAACAAAATTGTTTACTGAATAGAATAAGCAGTAAATCTAGGCTTGAACTAAAGCAGTCTGGTTTTGCAGCCTGTATTTTTAACCACAGCTACTTCTCACAAATGTACTGCTATGTGTTTTATTTTTTGCTATGTGGAGTTAGTGTTGACTATAAACATTTCAAGCTGCAAACTTTCAGATACAGATGGCCTTCACATTTGTTTTGTTTTATGCTTTATATTGTGTATTTGTGTCAAAGGTATGTAAGACTTGCTTTGTAGGACTTACAAATGAATCCAACTTAAATGTTCTCCCAGAATGGAACTCTTCCTTAAGTTGGGGATTTACTGTATTTTAAAAAAATCTTTAAAAGCAGTTAAGCATGGTAGTACTCACCTATTATCCCAGCACTTGGGAGGCTGAGGTAGGAGAATCACAAGTTCAAGGCTATCCTGGGTTAGTGAGTTCAAGGCCAGCCTGAACTACATAGTGAGACCCTCAAAATACATACATACATACATACATTTCTACAGAGTAAAAATACCTTATTTATTTTAAATTTCTGCTGTGCTTCTATTGCCATATCTTCATTGAATCCTTGCATTAATTTTTCCCGGGAAAAACAAGGCAAATCTTGACAAAGCTTCACAAGCACAAAATCTCTTAATTTCACATAACTTTTGGATGGATCTTCCGCTAAAAATATAAAGCAGAGTAACATTTCCCTTACTCAACATAATTCCATTATCATTTGTAAGCTCAATATACCTGCTAAATTAAAAGGCAAATATTCTTAAATGAAAACTACAAATGCAAAAATTACAACATAAAAGGATTATTTCTTAGAACTCAAACAGGACTATTATCTTTGCCAAAAAAAATTATAGGTGTACTCCTTTTGCAAAGACATTTATACATGGTGTAATCAAATATAGTGTGTTCAAATTAAAGCAAATTTTTACAATAAAAGACATCTCCCTAAAAATACCCCTTTCTCCTGCTTCAAATACACTTATCACATCATTCTTGCTACTTTCTAAGGCAGTTCTGGAAATCTTATGTGAGTGCCTTCATGAGGTATAATAAAAAATATGGTGGGGCCAGGGATTTAGCTCAGCGGTTCGGTGGCCTGCCTCGCAAGCACAAGGACCCAAGTTCGATCCCAGGTACTACATAAAAAAAAAAAAAAAAAAAAAAAAACGTGAATGGTGCTACCGTGTGCCATTCAACCAGAAGGCTGCCTTCTAAAAACATGTTGTCTTCACCCGCCTTATTCACCAAATCTGGTACTGTGCCACTTCTGGCTCTTCCCCAAAATTAAAACAACCACAAAAGGTAAACAGTTTGAATCTATTCAGGACACCGAGGCAGCCATGACTATACAACTAATGGCATTCCCAAAAGAGGACCTCCAGAACTGCTTCAGAAAGTCAGAAAAATGATAGGGTAAATATGTTCAAAGAGAGAGGAAGTAGTTTGAGGGGGATTAAAGGCAATGTCTCCTTTATTATAATACATTTTGTATTGTTTTGTTTTTTGAGACAGGGTCTGTCTTTATAGTTCAGGCTGGCCCTGAACTCACTACGTAAGTAGCCCAGGATGGCCTCAAACTCAATGCGATCCTCATTCCTCAGCTTTCCAAGTGTGGGATTACAGGCATGCGCCACCATGGCTTGCTATAATACATTTAAAAAAATTTTTTTAAACATTAACTACTTTTTGATCAAACTTCATTATTTGTGAAATAGGAGCTACTCATCTCAAATAACTTTCTGACTGGTATATTGCCACATGCATCTTAGGTTTTTTTGTTTTAGTTTTTGGTTTTTTTTATGGTACCAGGGATTGAACTCCAGTCCTTGCACTTGCAAGGCAGGCCACCGAACCGCTGAGCTAAATCCCTGGCCTGCATCTTAGTTTTAACTACAGTTAAACTTAATAACTAATAACTGCAGTTAAACCTAATAACTAATAACTGTATTAGGTATTTTGCAAATGAGAAGGGAACCAAGAGATGGAGAAAAGGGGGAGGCAGAAAAGGACATGAAATTATGATCTTTTAAGAATGATGAAATCGGAGGCGTGGGGGGATTTAGCTCAGTGGTGCCACTACACCTCCTTTGTAAGCATAAGGTCCTGAGTTTGATTCCTGGTTCTGAGAGAGAGAGAAAAAAAAACATGAAATCAAGAATAAAACAAAATTTGCCTGCCTCACAAGTTGATCTTGCCAAGCATGTGTGAGGAGGTCCTGGTTTCAATCCCTAAAAAAAAAAAAAAAAAAAAAAAAAGTCAAACAAAATGATGGAAATATAAGCCTACACAGAAAATCAAGTAAATGTAAAGACTGTATATACAATTTGTCACCCTATCCCTTTTTTCAGTCTTTCCTAATAAGCATCATTATTCTATTATAAGTTAGCTAGAAACCTGAAAGGCATTCTGATTTCTTCTACATACTTCCACCAGTATTGTCAACTACTAACATAACTTCTTTACCAATACTCCCCTGTCTTACAAAATGTAAACTGGACTCTGATACTCCCCTAAAGTAAAACTGTTCAAGCATTTCAACATAACCATAATGAAAGATCAAAGAGGAACAGAAAAAGTATTTGAAGAAAATGGTCAAAATTTTACCAAATTTGATCAAAAACAAATTTACACACCCAGGAAGCTCAACAAAGTTTAATTTGGGAACACACAAAGAGGTCCACAATCAAACACATCACAAACAAACCATCAGAAACCAGAGACAGAAAATCTTTAAAGCAGCAAGAGAGTGACGACTCTGAAGAGACCATGGAAGCCAGAGATTAGTGGGATGACATATTCAAAGTACTGATAGGAAAAACTGCACCTTAACTATCAACTGAGATGAATATATGTCCAGCAAAGTTATTCTTCAAAGCAAAAGCAAATTAAGACATTCCCAGAAAAGCAAAGACAGGAAATATGCTGCTAGCAGACCTGCTTTAGAAGAATTTCTAGAAGCCAGGCATAATGTTACATGCCTGTAATCTCAGCATCCTACAAAGACGCAGGAAGATTGCAAGTTCCAGTCCAATCTAAGCAATTTAGGGACTGAGATTCTGTCTAAAAAAAGGAAAGGAAACACTTCCCAACATATTCTGAGACCAGAATTATCCTGATACCATGGAACTAATGCAAAAACTACAAATCAGTGTTGTTTGTGAATGTGGATGCAAATGTCAATAAAAAATCTGCAAACTTGCCAGGTGTGGTGGTACACACATTATCCCAGCACTCAGGAGGATAGCCACAAATTCAAGGCCAGCCTGGTCTACACAGTGAATTCAAGGCCAGCCTGAACTGTAGTGCAAGACTCTGTCTCAAAAAACAAAACAAAGAGGTTGTGGATTTAGCTCAGTGGCGCTGCACCTGCCTTGCAAGTGCAAGGCTCTTGAGTTACACCCCTGCTACCAAAAGCAAAACAAACATCAGCAAACTAAACTCAGCAATACATAATAGCACAAAATGGGATTTGTAGTAGAAATACAAGGTTGGTTTATTTATTTATTTATTTTTAATTTTTATTTTTCGGTACCAGGGATTGAACTTGGGTCCTTGCACTTGCAAGGCAGGCCACTGAACCACTGAGCTAAATCCCCAGCCCTTCAAGGTTGGTTTAACATCCAAAAAAAAAAAAAAAAAAAAAAAAAAAATCAATTAATGTAACACACCATATTAACAGAATACGAAAAACTTATGATCATCTCAACAGATGCCAAAAAGAATATCTGACAAGAATTCAACACCAATTCATCATTAATACTCAACACTTGCTATGGTTTCTTCTCCAGAGCTTATGTACTGGAGGTTTGGTCCCCAGTATGGTGGTGTTGAAGGCAACAGAACCTAGAAGAGGTAGGGCCTAAAATTATGGGGGCAACATCCTCAAGTGGTGATAAACACAGGTTTTGCAGGACTAAATTAGTTCTCTCAGAACTGGTTATTAAAAGGGAGACAGGCAACTCCGAATCTCTGTTCCATGTGCAGTGCTCACCACTTTCACATATTTCCTGCCACTGTGATGTCATTGGCTATGAGCCCTTAATCAGGACTGAGCAGATTCCAATGCTATGTTTTTGAACTCTAGAACTGTTAGCTAAATACTCTTCTTTATAAAGTACCTAGCTTCCAGTTTTTGTTATAGCATGATAAACAATGGACTAAACAACCTGGCAATAGAGGGAAATTCCTCAATTTGAAAATGAGTACTATGAAAATGTATAGTTAAGAAGATAAAAGAACAAATGCTTTTCTTCTGAGAGCAAGGCACAGATATCTGCCTTACCATTTCTAAGTGGCACTGAATTATAGGGTTCTCAGCTATGCAATCAGGAAAAAAAATAACACATCTGATTGAAAAGTATTTTATCTTTGTAGATGACATGATCTGTATCTAGAAAAATCTAGATAACCAAAAATCTACAACTAAGGAACAAGTACATTAAATCAATATATAAAAACAGCTGTTATTTCTATACTGTACTAAAACAATCAAAAAATAAAATTAAGAAAACATTCACAGTACTATGAAAAAAAGTAAAATGTCTACAGATTTCACAAAAACAGTACAAGAACTGCACACTGAAAACTGTAATACTGAAAGTTATTTGTGTGTGCATCACTGTGCACATGCTAGGACTGAACCCAGGGCCTTGTGCATGCTAAAACACCCTCAGCTCTTGGAGAGAAATTTTAAAAGCTATAAATAAAAAGACATTTTGTATTAATGGATCAAATGACTCGATATTAAGATGGTTATTTTCCTCTAATTGATTTATATTCAGTTCAGTCCTTAGGAAAACTCAAGAATATTTATTTTTTTGCAGAAACTGATAAGCTGATACTAAGACTTTTATGAAAATATAAAGGACTTTGTATAACCAAAGCAATTTAAAAAACAAAGCCAGAGGACTTCTACTTCCTATTTCCAAACTAAACATAACATTCAAGGTGGTTTTGCTGACAGAGCCTCTATATACCCAAAGGAATGAGAAAGGCCACAAGTGCTGGGCAGTGCAGAAACAAGGAGACCAATGTATATAGCTCCAGGTTGAAAAGTAGAAAACCAAGGAAGAAAGGAGTAAGGAGAAGAGAGTGGAGATGGGGCTGCAGGTGACCCAAAATGAAGAAATCTAGTCTGAAACAAAAGAATGGAAATGACTGCCAAAGGTGTAGTCATCCACACTGAAAGCACCAACTACGTGGCACAGACAAGCGGAAATGTCACACAACTGGATCTGTACAGGACATAGGGATTTTCAAGGTTAGAACAACAACAACAACAACAAAAAAACATGGAGAAAGAAAGCCAAAGAACATTACATGAAATTGCACTTAGCTGAGAAGACAGAGAAGCAAAGGCCAACCTTGCAGGGATGTTGATTATCCAGAAGCAGTATCAGGAAGCACCAGGAAAAAAGGTCAGGAAAGCAAAAGGTGATGCAACTTTTTCCAGAAAGGGGACTAGTCACATTGCCTGAATAAGTAAATGTGGCCTACAGAAGGAGCTACAGGGAAACAGTTGTCCTGCCAAGACCTCTGCTGTCTTGCCCACCCTGTGCCCTGATACCACTGCAGCAACCCTTCACAGCTAGGAGGCCAACTGAGATCACTTCACCTTGGCAGAGATGTCTGAGGGAAGATGGGAAAGGACTGAGCCAGAAAGA